ATACAATTAAAGTGTTACTATATTATTGTCACCTGTAATTATTACTACCAGTAGTAGTCTAATAATAATAATAATAATAATAATAATAACAACAACAACAACAACAATTGTGTGCTGTAATAATAATAATAATAACAACAACAACAACAACAACAACAATTGTGTGCTGTCAAGTTGCAACCAGCTCATTGCAACCCCAGAACCATGGGGCTTTCAAGGCAATAGATGAGCCTAGGTGTGTTTGACATTGCCTTCCACTGCATAGCAACCCTAGATTTCCCTGGTAGTCTCCCATCCAAGTATTAACCAGGGCAGACCCTGTTTAGCTTCCAAGCTCTGATGAGATCAGAGTAGGCTGGGTTATCAGGATGGTCAAGTGTTTATTAGGGTCTTGAAATTATCACATTTCCCTGACTATATTCTATGAAGCTTGGCTGTATGGCTCTGCACCTCCAGGAAACTTTCTGTAGCCTAACACATATACCGCGGGTGCAACTGTGCTTCAGCTTCAAAACCTGGAGCTACCAAACCTTGATGCTATGTGAGTATCACACCATCTGAACACAGCCAGAACCTCACAAGATTTAAAATTCCTTTAGTCTATCCAGAGACAAATACCAAGATGAGGCTGAAATATCCACCTGCAAAGCCAGAATAACTGCGTGCAAAAGATCTGCCACCTTTCTCCAGAGAAAGCAATTTCAGGCGAAATTGTCATATGCTGTGCTTATTGGGCGGAAACAATTTTGAAACTCACTTCAATTCATTCAGCACAGCTCTAGCAGCTACCAATGCACAATGTTGCCACCAATCACACCTCTGTAAAAGCGAGCTGAGAAGTTCACATCTTTATTACTTCTTATTTTTCGTGATGAAATAGTTCCCCAAGGTAACCAAATGTTATCTACATTTTTAAAGAAATCTAAATAATCATGTTAACTTTTCTATCTGCTTAAATTAATATTTAGACATATTTGGACATATACTATGCAACCGTTTTTAGTCCGGGAGGGCACATGGCTTGGTGGTAGAGCATCAGGGCTCCATCCCCAGCATCTCCTGTTCAAAGGTTCAAGACGGAGGTGATGTGGAAGACCTCTGCTTGAGTCCCCTGAGAGCCACTGCCAGTACGAGTAGACAATTCCGAACTCAAAAGACCAATGGTCTGAATATACAAGGCAGCTTCATGGGTTCATATACTTTGACATTATTTGCCTCCAATCTTTTATCACAGATTTCTTTGCATGTTATAACCTTTTTAGATGTTAAAAATGTCATGCAGCATACTTACCATTAACATATGGCTTCACCATTATCTAGGTAGCACTGAGAACAATAGAAGTATTTATTTATTTTTCAAATTTATATTCCGCCCTCCCCGCAAGCGGATCACAACAACTGTCGGGCCATAACAATAAATAATCAGTTAAAACCTTAAAACAGCGCTTAAAAATAAACTACATCAATACTGGTGCCACCGAGCTCTAAAATTCGTTTAATCCAGGCTGCACGCAGATGGTGTCTTCAGCAGGGGGAACCAATCTTTTTCTTCTTCTGGATGCCCACTGCCTAAACCAAAGGCCTGTCGGAACAGCTCTGTTTTACAGGCCCTGCGGAATGATAAAAGGTCCAGCAGGGCCCTGATCTCACGTGGAAGCATGTTCCACCAGGCTGGGGCCAAGGCAGAAAAAGCCCTGTTCCTGGTTGATGCTAAACTGGTCCCAAAATGAAGAAGATCCCCTGCTTTGCAGAAACAGCAAAGGAGATACCATTTTCAGACCTTCACTGAAGGAGGCAACAGCTCCAAACCTAAAATTTGCACAACTAATACAAAAGGAGAGCTTTTTAAACACACACACACACACACATACACACACACTGCACCAAAGTCAAGCTTTCACTCTCTGGAGCTGCCTGGCAAGTGTCAAAACAACACCTGTCTTAAAGAAAAAGAGAGAGATCCTGCCAGGAGAGATTGTTCAAACCCTTCTTTCCGCTTCCTAAACTGGAACTAGATGTTCAGCAGGCACATGGCGGCGGCCAATGGCAGACCCCGTCCACCAACGTCAACTTCTCCTCTGTTCCCGATCACATTAATAGCACATTAAGCTTTTCCTTGCCCTGTTTCATCAGCTGCTGTTTGTGGTTCAGGTGGGGAAAACCAAAGCATGACACCATGACACGTGTTTTATATCGCCGTACGTTACCAGCTGGGAGGAAGCACGAGGAGAGGGGAAGCTGCTGCTTTTGACAGCAGCTGCACATATATCATGAACCAGGACTTGGAGCAAGTTCTGCTGTTCTTCCCCACTGGAAACTAGCAAGTCCTGCAGCTGCTTTTCAGTTTAAAAGAAAATAGTTGGGGAAATGTTCACCCGTCTCCTGAGTACCATCTAGTATGGCCCCAATAAATTCTACGACAAATCCTAGGAGACAGGTCGTTGTACTTTCCATTGTTTCCTCTGTATGGTTTTCTTCAAGTTGTGTGTCTTAAAAAAAAAAAAGCAGGAAATGCATAGTGGGGCTAAAAAAGAATTATCATTGCTATCCCACCCATTCTTACCGAGATCCATGCTCTTGGAGGCTTTCAGATTAATTGATTCCATCTGCTTGGCCAGTGTCAACGGTCTGAAGTTGATGTGCTGATCGGGTGAATACGCAGCCGAATCTGCTACTGAGCTACGGAAAGAAGACACGCCAAAAAAAAAAAAATTAGGCACCAGCTCAAAAGCATATGAATTAAACCCTACGAGAACGAATCCATCCCTCAATTCCCTAGTTATTTTAAGTCATCCAAATTTCTTTTATCAGTTGTCACCTCTATTAAATCTGATTTTACTCAAGATATATCATGGAGAAAATGGAGCCAGGACCTAAAAGAATTGCTTTTTGCCTCATATCTGTTCACTTTGTGAACATTTCAGTAATGAATAAGTCACACTAGTTTACTACGGTATACCCCTGTGATATTTAGAAACCTAAAGGAGAGGTGAGGTCGAATGCATTAGCCTTATCATTGGTTTTACCAGTAGGTGCTGCATGAAGGGTTGGATCCCACATAGATTTCTGACCCTTCCCCCTCCTTTGTTGTTGTTCCCATCAAGCCACAGCTGACCCATGGGAACTCCAGAGGGTTTTCAAGGCAAGAGGCATTCAGGAGTGGTTTGCCATTGCCTGGTTTCATGTCACGACCTTGACAGTCCTAAGAGGTCTCCCATCCAAACGCTAGCCAGGGCCGACCCTGCTCAGCTTCCGAGATCTGATGAGATCGGGCTATCCTGGGCCATCCAGGCCAGGAATTTCCCCTAATATGGCAGCCCAAATCTCCCCCCAATAAGCTGCTCATGGGGACACAGGGAACCTGCAGGAGTAGCTTGGAATGGAATCAGAAATCTCGGGGCGGGGGGGGGGGGG